GGCATTATTAGTCATAGATTCTTAACGCTCCAGATACGTGTCGTAAACTGGGTGAATATTTGAAGAGATCTCGGAGATTTTTCCGAATTCCCTCGGAAATAAGCTGGCGAACGCTTTGATCCTTTTACCAATAGTCGACGGGTCTTTGAACTCTAATTTCCAAGTATTTATCTGCTCAACTCAATTAACGAACTTTGTAGACGGGCTGTTCCTTTCTCCGACGTTCCGTCGAATGCTGACGGGAACACATTATGCATAGGTTCTCTAGAATAGTAATGAATCGTATCGATTGGCCGTTGCTTTTTTCCGATCGACAACGTTCAGTTTCTCATTGGAGTCAATGCGTGCAATTAATGATTTCTGCTACTAGAAAACAAACAGAAACTTCTGTTTTCCGCTGATAACGAAGACTAAGTCTAAGTCTAAGTCTAAGTCTAAGTCTAAGTCTAAGTCTAAATCTAAGTCTAAGTCTAAGTCTAAGTCTAAATCTAAGTCTAACTCTAAGTCTAAGGATAAGTCTAACTCTAAGTCTAAATCTAAGTCGAGGTCGAAGCCGAAGCCGAAGCCGAAGCCGAANTCTAAGTCTAAGTCTAAGTCTAAATCTGTCTAAGTCTAAGTCTAAGTCTAAGTATAAATCTAAGTCTAAGTCTAAGTCTACGGTTAAGTCTACGGCTAAGTCTAAATCTAGGTCTAAGTCTAAGTCTAAGTCTAAGTCTAAGTCTAAGTCTAAGTCTAAGTCTAAATCTAAGTCTAACTCTAAGTCTAAGGATAAGTCTAACTCTAAGTCTAAATCTAAGTCGAGGTCGAAGCCGAAGCCGAAGCCGAAGCCGAAGCCGAAGCCGAAGCCGAAGCCGAAGCCGAAACCGAAGCCGAAGTCGAAGTCGAAGTCCACGACGAATTTGTTTGGTGCCGGGGTTCATGTATGCCGACGAATGCGGCGAACTAAACGGATTCGACTTAAACGGGGTAACTTTCTTTCAATAAGCTCTTCTTAGCGGCCATTAAGGGGCTCCCGAAGCATGCAAAAGCACTACGAACTTTCTCCCCGAACAGTTTTATCCAGATATTCCCCTCGAAACGAAGTTACGACCGAGCGGGTTCGGCTATCTATCGATTGCAAACCAGGACCTAACTGCGGCGAGGAAATTGCCCTTCTTACCCAATCAAAATGGCAACAGCCATTTTCTGTAGACTCCCCTAATCTACGATTTATGGGCAGTGCGTAATGCGCTGGTCCATTGTCATCCACATGGCATAAATCGTTTTATGGTTCGCCGGCGACTACTAAATATTACAGAACGTTCTTTTATCCGAGCATGTTCCGGGGCAACGTTGCGATTCAAGTACGTCCTCTGATATTCGAGGTTGTTCTGTACTGTTTGCTCGAGCTCCATATTCGAGGCAGATAGTACGATGCCGAAGGATTTTCAAGCGATACCTGGGACAGGGTCGAACTGTTTGGTTGCGTGAGCAGGAATTATTAGCTTCGGTTGCATTCGTCGGGTCTAATGCACTTATCGGCCACTCTGTAGCATATCCGGGTTTCAGTTATCGTGTCGCAGATAGCAAGCTTACACCGATAATTGCATAGTACACTCGTGTTAGATATACGAAAATTTAAAGTTGTATCGAGGGAGATTCGCCTAGAACAACAGTGCAAAATAAACGAAATAAAAGACTAAAAAAGAACGTGATACGTCTTATTGTTTAAATGTAAAGTTAATTTATTCACTACCCCAATCCCAGCGCGTCAATATTTCACGGTCGACACAGAAACGGTATCGTCTCTCGATATTTTCGTAATGCGTCCCACGAATGAATTAAGATAAGAGTACTTATTACAGAACGCTTAGGGGATGCACCTTGAAATATTGATTTAATATGAATAAAGAATAATAATAATAAGAATAAAGAATAATAATAATAATAATATAAACTAGCAATATACGAGCACGTATCTATTGTGTCAACCGTATCGTCGTCACGTCCCAGTGTCCGATAAATCGGGAACAAATTGATAGGATGTAAATGAAAAAATGCAAAAATTGCAGTACACGATATGGAGCAATATGTGCACGCTTATAGAAACGTCCGTATTCGAATAAACATTCTCTTTGACAGCTGATTGTTACGATATTTGCGCGCGTGACTGAATCAAGAACAACGTTCAAAAGTATGGAGGTTCCGAGGGGAGAGGTACATTTACCTTACGCTATTTTATCGAAGCCTCCTAACAAATATAGTCTGCGACTATCGAGAGAGCCGCCTTGCAGCTAGGGAGCTCGTCGAAGGGGCAAGACGGCGAGCCTTGGAGGGTGGAATGTCGAAGCACGATGTTACTTTTACGGTAGAGCGTGGGCGGGTCGCAAGACGTCCGAACACGGTTAATAAGACTGGCGAAGTCAAAGCCAAAGCCAAAGCCGCAGAGGAGAAGGTGAGACATAGGTGTGGAGTAAAGGAGAAGAGCTACCACTAATGATTGGTGCGCAAGTGAGCTCCCACCGTTCGTCGAAAGGGGTGAGAAGTTTGAATAGGTTGCCGAGGGCGTAACAACGTCCTAGGCGTGTATGCTTCTCCTCGCCACCTCTCGCCTCCTCTCGCCACCTCTAGTCTCCTCTCGCCTCCTCTCGCCACCTTTAGTCTCCTCTCGGCATCTCTAGTCTCCTCTCGTTTCTCCTCTCTAGTCTCCCCCAGGTCGCTATACATATGTATACGACGCCTAAGTACAATATAACTCCCTCTTCTGTCTCCCTCTTGGCCCACCCTTTCTCTCTCTTTCTCTCTCTCTCTCTCTCTCTCTCTCTCTCTCTCCCGCGCTCTCTTGTCTCTACGGTTTGACGTAACGGCTCTTCGGAGCAGCTCAGAGCTAGCCTTTATCTATGCGCCGCGGCTCAGATTAAAGGAACAATGATGCACTTCTCTTCTGAATGCAGTTTTTCGTGGTTACCCAAGAATTCCTGGTTACACGCGAGAGCGGCGTTTACCTCTCATCGAGGCGCTCGCGAAAAATAGGTCATATTTAGGAATTAATTATAGGAAAACTGGATCGCGTACGGAGCCACGAAGCTTACTGAAATGTACTTACTCTGGCGTAGTTTAACGTTACGGGGGAAACTTTGTTGCATATTCAGCCGCGCTTATTGTACATGGGCTAGATCGACTTGTTAATGTCGATAATTCAATGGACGAACGAGCTTCTACGTTGCACGCCCCGCGAAACGTCGTATCGTCTTAATCACGTGCACCAGATATAACAACGAATTCAGGCACGTGGCCGAACAATTCGCACGTGTTCCACTAAATAGGAGCGTTATCCGTTTCGTCTAAATCAATGCGTGAACCAACTGTATTGTACGGTCGTTGAAACACATTTCAATCGCGAATACGGTTCTTCCGTAGATTGCGCCGTCGAAGATCACGGGCTCTCGCGATAATCGATGAAGCGATCTCGTCGATCGCGGAGTGCTCGGACTCGGGCAAAGAAATTCATCGATCTCGCGTCGTAATCCAGTACTTAACCGAGGATGCTCGTTGCACCGACGGAAAAACGATGCTGCGTTCCGTGTCACGGAGGCCATTACGCGGAAAGTGTATTCGAAGGAAGCTAATAGATCAAGGGAAATGGGTTGAAGCCGGCGAAAAAGAATGGAGTGGTATCCAGCGTCGATGCCCGGAGGGGGCTGCTCACGGTCGATAGATCACGCATCTAAGTGCACTAAATGTCTCTTTCTCCCGTTCGTTGGTTATTATGCGGCAAACTGCACCCGGGTTTTTTCGTACAGGATACATTTATCAAGTCGGACGCCATAGCCAGCAGGCATAACATCTACATACAAACGGGTACATCGCAATCTCTCTTTCTCTCTCTTTCTCTCTCTCTTTCTCCCTCTTTCTCTCCGTATGTATGCGTGCCAGAAACACAGATACCGACACAACGCGACGGTTTTCACGCGAGCTCTCACCTGGTTGCAGCCTTATCGCCACGTGTGCTACAATCTACATCGATTTGTCGTGTCGCGTCGCGTTGCGTCGCGTCGCGTTGCATCGCCGCGGTCCATTTCCTCCCATAGAATATCCCCGGCTGCCCGATACTATTGCAATTAGCACTCGCGAAAACAAACACCGCCGCTTTTCACGGCCAATCGATCGCAGCTTCTCCTACACCAGCCGACGTTGCATCGAATCGAATTTAACGTTCAACGGCTACATAAATCGTAAAAAGAATAAGGGAATAAGAAGATTCAATAGCTGGCAACTTAATAACAGCCGATTATTAAAACCTCGCCGGCAATCTGGACCTTTAACCCGCGATTACACGCGCAACCTTGTTGCAAGGATAAGTAAGTGACGGTATGGGAATCGGTATTAGATCAAGATCACTGCGTATAGAATGATTAGAATCACGAGATAAACGAAATCGACCTTTCTGGAACCTTTGATGGAAGTGTACATTCGCTTAACTTTGTATAATTTTCGCCTTACTTCTTCGTAGAATGTAGAATGCTAGAGCGTACGGGACAAACGCGAACGCGATCGGTTGAGAGACTGCGAGACACCCGGTACATGCGCGTGCATCGAACCGGCAATATATTCGTTCAATGTTCGATGGTCACATGGTCGCGTATACGTCTCTTTGTGTACGAACACTTCAGCTGTCGAGCGCCTATTAGCACTATTAGCAGGCACTTTAATGACCGTGCTACATCTGAAATGCACTCGCAGTCGCAACAGCTGTCCATCCCGCCGCTGTTAGCTCAGGCATGCGAAACGGACGCGTGGCGGACGACTCTTATGACTTCGTGAGCATTTCAGACGTCTTCCTGGGAGTGTGTGGTATCTTGGCAATTTAATTTTCTGAATAAAATCGTTACGGCCGTTGAAGGATCTGCTAACAGATCCGACAGTTATTAAAATCAGCCGTTAAGGGCGTCAACTTGTACGCGCAACGTAAAAAACAGAATCAAGGAAATGTTGAATCAACGACGATGGAGATCAATTACCTTCGATATCGCAGCGATTATCCTCGGATGAGACGTTGTCGGAAGACACTAACGAACTCTTGGTTCCGCTTTCGTTTAAGTAAGGATTTCTAGTTGAGATAAGATCGACATTGAAGTGTCGCACGATACAGAATTTGTGGCCGCTTTAAAAAACCTGTTATCTCGGTTCTCAACGTACGAGACTCGCTTCACACATGGTCTTGTTGTGCATCGGAATTCTACTGAATGTCCCGCAAACTGCACCTGCGCAGAACAAGTTCCAGACGAGGACCGCTTCGGCCCGCTCCGGCCCACGCCGATCCGTGCTGACCCACGTATAATAGACCATGAATTGAGATAAGTTCACGATTGAATAACGCAACCACACGCTATCGTTGTTTCTTGCTATACGGAGTGACGCGGTACTTGTCAACAAGCTGGCTATTACAGTCTCTCTGAAACGTGTGCAAGTTATTATAAATTATACTGTATAGGTGATTCATTTTCTTCACGTTTTGTCTTACACGTTTATAAAACATGTACAATTTAATAAAGAATATTATATCCTAACCAGTTAGCTGTATTTTACACTCATCACGAAGAAATGTGGAAATTTCGTGTTACGACGAGTCTAGTCGTCAAAAACAGCTGACTGATCAAATAGTACGCGGGAACAGGATCGTAGAATCAAAACTGTTCCTTCGTTATTTTAAACCTTTCACACACAGCTGTTTAACCTTGTTCCCCGTTCGCGTTCCACGAAGCGATCGCAGAAAATCGTACAACAAGTTTTGTGAGGTCGCGTTCCGAAGAGCAAGCTTCAATCTTCGAAGCTATGGTGGATACAATAGACGAAAAAAATCTTTCCATGTTTTTGAAGACGTTTGAATCCATAGTATGTACATCCAACTGACCATCCAATTCATCCAACTGACCAAAAACAGCTGATTGATCAAATAATACGCGGGAACAGGATCGTAGAATCAAAAGTGTTCCTTCGTTATTTTAAGCCTTTCACACACAGCTATTTGAACTTGTTCCCCGTTCGCGTTCCACGAAACGATCGCAGAAAATCGTACAGCAAGTTTTGTGAGGTCGCGTTTCGAAGAGCAAGCTTCAATCTTCGAAGATATGGCGGATACAATAGACGAAAAAAATCTTTCCATATTTTTGAAGACGTTTGAATTCATAGTATGTACATCCAACTGACCTTATGTCTTCAGCTTTGCTGTATCACGTGGAAGCATGCTGGAAGAAAATTAACGTGGAATTGCGAAGATGAAGGCATCATGCTTTAAAACGAGTCCGGGTTTATCGCTGTCCGACTCGTTTTCACGGAATTACAACGGTTCGAATATCAAGGATACGTTTTATGATTTATCCCGACGACGAATAGCTGGATCGCGAATCGCTTATTAAATTGTTCACCGGCACCGGAGTCGATCAAACGTGGAAAACCGTTCGCATTGAAGCGTCTGCGTATTTGCCGCCAAAATCTTTGGATTGGCGGATTGCAAAATAATCGCTGAACAAGCTCGAGCGTCCCCTCAGAGAAATACTTTCCGCGGAGATTGCTAATGAGAGGAGCGATTACATTCCTCGGTTATAGTTCGAAGCACGGCACCAGCGGAACAGCATGGCGCGCTTATTTCTGTCCTCCCGTTTCGCAACGCGAAAGCAGCACGGGAATATCTCGCGAAAAGCCTCAAGTCCCGCCGCTCTGAAGAAAGTTATTTGTGCCGGGAACACGTGATACGGGGACGGCGACCGGGGTATGAGGACGGGGATGGAAACGGGGGATGAAAACGGGGGGATGAGGACGGGAACGGGGGAATCCAAAGCGGAACGCGAAAGGTACAGTTACAAGAGTAATTGCCGTCTCGTTTGTTTTCTCGGTTCTTAAAATGGGATCATTACAAAGTAGAGCTTACTTTCGCGGCGGGGAAAGAGAGACGGCCGGAACGAGCCAGCGACGAACGGAACGGCGGGGTGCAGCGGGGCGGGGGATGGAGTGGGATGGGAAGAGAGGTGAGTATGTTTTTCTCACGTAATTAGCCACTTCGGGCAAGAAACAACTCCGGATAAGAAAGGAAATGGTTCTGCCGCGATCGCGAAAAAGACGATTTTCCTGGAAAAAGCCAAAATAATTAACCTTACGTTCCTTTTTGCCCTCTCCGACGGCCACCTTTTATTTTCTGAAATCCTATCCCTGATTTAAAGACCACCGGCGAACAAAACTATTTCACGGCTGCTCGAAACACCGGCATTTCGTAGCGAAACTTCCTAACGCGTTCGCGGCCAGTAAAAAATTTTAACGAGCTGCACCAGGAATAGGCGGGTGATTTATTCTTAACACTGGATTTACGGAGCACCGGAAGCAGCCGTTTTATATTTCTATGTAAAAGTAACAATAAGTCATTTATTCCGATTTTTAACGAGTGTTATTGTAACATTTTCGCTCCAAGTAACAAACGTATTCAATAAATAACTCGTAAATGTATCTTTGCAATCTGAATAATCGTAAATTAAAAGATTAATGGCCCGTCGTTTTGACGGGTTATACAAATTTTGATTAGTCACATTTTGCTTTCTTCTTCATTCATTGCCCCCGTTTTACATTTTACATTTTAATAGTTACACGTAATACATACATATATATTTATACAGTTATATATATATAATATTATAGCACCCACGTCGATACAGATCAAAATAAAGTGGCTGACAAATTTGAATGTTACAACATGTCATTCTGTACCGCAATAGAAACGAATGCTACAACATTCACGTCCGTTTCTTGCAATTTTTCGTGAATTCGCTTATTCAACCCTTTGCCGGTCCCGCAGATTTGACGAAATCAGGTCACGGGAAGCGTGACTGGATCTTCTTTGATTATATTATTCGGATGTAAAAGTTAGTTAGCCACATTTTGTTAACGTGCTCGAAAGTATGTACATATTTCCTCCTTTAACACCGCGAATGTAAAAGAAATGGATTCAAAAGAATACGGTTTCTTCTGTCCCGCAAATTCGCGCAGGCCACGAAAGCATGAAAATAACGAACGACGTAGCGTGATACACGAGCGGAAGCGGAATCGTCCGGGTGTTTTCAGTTTTCCGGGATGAGCGTTCCTTCCGGGGAGCTTTCATTACGCCCGGCAACGATGAACCGATCACGTGTTTCAGATACGTGACCACAATGTAAACTCCGTAACGCCGAAACTTCGTCGAATCGGACAAATCTCTGGAATTTACTCAAGAACTCCGTAGCTGTTCTATAACTGCGAAAGGAAACGGGATTACGGGCCCGGACCTTGATTAGCTATTCGTATTCCTAGCAGCCGGATCCATCGATAGCGGAATTTCATGGCTGAACGTTGATTTCTCGCTGTCAAAACTTTCGGGGTACACGGGCGCCCGTCGAATTTTGAGACTGTCCTATTAGATGCGGGACAGGTCTCCGTGACAACCCGAACTTTCGGCAATAGATTGCAGTTAATTTCGTAGCTTTCCGAAGTCTTTGGAAGAAGTATGGACGCATGGATTCATCTCGAACGGCCATAATAACGGGTCCCTGCAACTATTTGGGACACATGTGTCCCAGCTATCGTTCCTGATTGCCAATACGTGCCTCATAGATGCGATATTTCGCACTAATTTTACCGTGTTTGACTGTACACTACTATTCTCCGATCTGTAATAATGACTAGACCGCGGAATGACTGTTTATCGGAATTCCAGTAGAAACTAGGGTTAGCCGACGATACTTCAAGCATCGCGAAACCGGCCCAGATCTCGCTTACGATCGCACCGGAATCGTCCCGATTTTACGAATCGTCGCGATTTTGCGGATCGTCGAGAGCCAGACAATTTCGAAAGCAGAGAATTCACGGATTAAATAGATCACAAATCCTTCGAAGAAGATATACAGTGGTCCATAAAAGTGTTCGTGCACCTTTTAAAACGCAATAAATTTTTCGAAAATGGACTGAATGACTTGAATTTTTTTCAGATGATAGCGGAACTAGTCTACTAGAACCAAAATGTTTTTTTTTTAATTTTGCTGTTACGTGGAATGACAAGAAAAATGAAAATAATCGTTTTTTAACTGTTTTATCCGAGCCTATAACGGAAATTTAAAAAATGCCTCTCGTAGATCTCGGTGACTTATATGTATGCATGCTGAAAATTTTATCGAAATCAGCTGACGTTGTTATGACGTTGTTATCACGACTTTGACCAAAAACTGGAGGAAATCTGCAGTTTTTAAAATCCTTCAACGCCTGTAGCTCGACTCTTGGTTAACCGATTTCGATCAAATTCTTTAAATTTTTGTTTTAGGCTCGGATAAAACAGTTAAAAAAACGAGAGTTTCTAATCTTTTTCGTCATTCCAAATAATAGCAAAATTTAAAAAGGACATTTTGGTCATGGTCTGGTATACTAATTGCTCTATCATCTAAAAAAAATTCAAATCACTTAGTCCAGTTTTTAAACAATTATTGTGTTCTAAAAGGTGTACGAACGCTTTTGTGTGTCTTTTATCTTTTAATAATTGTAATAAGTAGAAAACAATGCAGCAATATTCTGAAATTCTTCTAATGCCTTTCCGGTTTTGTATTCGACCTGTTTTGTATTCGATGGGTCACGCGTATGTCCGAATTTTTGAAATCGTTTCACAGCTTCCAAAAATCGACGCCGAGACCTAGTCCAAGCCGAGTATTAACGTATTGTAGTGGAAAAGCGACGAGAATATCGATGGAAAATCCTCGAGTTGAAAGAGTTGAAATCCGCGAAAGGTTTCGCTCGGCGGCGGGAAGTTAATTCAACAATTTTGGCGGGCAGATGTGAAAAGGGGGAGACAGAAAAGTCGTGGTCGTCGTACGCGCGAAATGCTGTGAAAGGTCCGCGTAGCTGCGACAATACACGGACAGCAGCCAGATGGAAAGTTTGCCGGCCGGGTTTGAATTCGTGTACGTTGTTAGGTTGGAAGTGGAGCAACAGAACGCGAAGTAGAGCAGCTCCCCCGGAAAAATAGTTCTCAAAGAAGAATCTACGCAATACATGACTTTGCTTTAAATTGCACAAAGGTCCCTTTAGCGATATAACATTTGGCGCGGGTGCGAGTTCTCTTCGACGCTGCAATCTGTAACACGGTACGTTTTCTCTTTGAGAAATGGCTACAAAGGGGACGCGCCTGAATAAAATTTTTGGTCGCGCGTACGACAATACGTGCCGTTTCTGCGCCGCTGATTACGCGTGCAGCTGCATAAGAAAAATGCAAATGCCGTGCACATGGAACTCCTTTCACGCCAGCGTCCGAAACCCTCCAATTTTACCACCCGGCGCTGCTCGCGACGATCGCGGGTGCCTTAGGCGGCTCGAACGCTGTCGAACGGTCGCGATATGTCGACAAGATTTACCACGACGCGCGAATTAATTCGCGGATTCCATGAGCGGACTGATATATCATAGCGGCGAAAGTCAGATTTCCGAAGATGTTGACTGTATGTCTGAAAATGTAACCTATACATGAGAAAATGTTAAGGAAACAAGTGAAATAAATTATACAGTTACTATGAATTAACTTAACTCTACACTATTTTAACAATAAATTTGGTCAGTAAATAATACTTTTACGTTTGAGTTAACAGTATTATTATTAATATTATTGTAAATAACACTTTTACATAAATAATACTTTAACGTTTCAGTAAAATGATAACGCACCTTGCTTCTCGCAACGAGGAAAGTGCGCGACTAATGCCACTATGACCCTAACCCACTTACATGAAGATAGTTTCATTATTTTTTTACTTGCTTTTTGCTGCCGAAGCTTGAAATGGTTTCTACAGGTGTCCTGATATTTTATCCAAGTTCTACTTAAATACATCTCTGACCTAGCAGAGAGATACCATTTAACACGTTCCGTAACGAGACGTTCTTGCTCAACTTTTCACTCGGGCCATTTGACGTTTTGACTAAAAATTGATATATTGTATTTAATTATTAACCCTTAGAGCTCCGCGCGTTTCTCGAGTACTGTCTACCAGCAACTCCGGCATATTTTTGGAGCGGAACGCCTGAGATAAAGGAAGTCTTATTTTCAGCGGAAAAGATTACACGTCCTTGCGAATGCATTTGATTATTTATTTTATAAATATACATTTTCTTATTGTAAATAAAAGATAAATTTTTAATTTTGTAATTCACCATGGTGTGATATCTTTGGTAACAATTTCCCATGTGCATTCTGGGTTTACTTGGACAAGTGTCACAGTATTCACTTTGCCAAATAGAGTTACTAGATATTTCTTTCAAGTTTAGAACATTTTCTGCGTAATTGTTGGTTTCCTTTATAATTTCATTTACCAATCCGTCCGTGAAAAATAATGTAAAATATTGTATCGGCTGTTCAATGTTTGTAGGAACTTGTGGTCCAATGACCTGTGACAATACACTAAAAGGTATTCTATCTGGAATATGTAATTCTGCCGTAACATCACGCCCTTCATCTAAGTCTTGTAACGAATCTTCGCTTTCGCTTTCAATAATTCTCATTCTTCGTCTCTCTGGTAGTATAATTTCGCTACTACTTCTCGAAGTGTCAGAATCATAACCAACATTGTCTTCCACAACGTCTTTTAACTCTTCAAAATCAAATACGTCTTCGGTATCACTCGGCTCTAAATTCTCATCATACTATTTATTTTTCTCCATGTTGCTAACCATAGAATAGGTCAAAAAATGGTTTAATCGTAATGGTACAGACTTAGCGCGTTTTAACTACGGATAACAATTGCTAACGCCGACGATAACGTATGCTAAACACATTTGGCTCCGTAGCGTAGCCTTCGGAGTTACGGAAGAAATGATAAATGTCTCCGTAGTGGAGCCTTCGGAGTGCTAAGAGTTAATGTATTTAATTATCTCACCGTTTTGGTGGAAACATATCCATCAGCCTCAAACGTACTATAAAGTACATGTTTTCAGGGCATTAAATAAATCGACAGCAAAATCTCCACCAAAGGGTTAAACCCGTTCATAAATAAATAAATAAATAAATAAATATAAATTGCCATCTGCAGCGCCGGTGGTCTTTGAAGTTTTTTAGAGAAATTGCTTTTCATCGCATTGCGTCACGGCATACGGGCAAATGGTAACAATTTTTCGAAACAGGTACCGGCGCCAGAGAACTTCAAAAATACCGCTATGCGACTGATGGAAGTGCCCCGGAAAGAATGCGCGCGATCGAAAACGTTGCGCGATGCGGGTGCACCGAGAACATATTTCCGTTCTGACAAAGTCTCGCCGCATAGCGATCTCGGCCGCTGTTCCGTAACGCTTGTTAACGATAATTTCATATAGCATTTGCCAACAAGATTTCACAATTTCTGCAAAATCCTGAATGGGACTAATTCCAATTCTAATTGCAACGAGGCGCGTTTCGTTATTGAATTCGTCGAAAGAACGAACACGCCTGGATCGGACGGGGCAGTTTTGAAATCCGGCGATCCGATTGAATAGTGCGAACGGTGGGATACGACGACGCGGCGTAATTTGGTCGAATTCATCGGTCGGACGCGTAATCAGGTGCGAAGGAAAAAGTCGTCGAAAGTTCCACGTTATGGAGATTCGGTTGTATCGCGACGTAACTCCTACCCGAAGCCCGAAGGTAACCGTGGCGCACTGCGCCATAACCAAAATGGACTCGCAGTTGTATAAATCTTATTACAAGGTAATCTCGTTTGAAAGCGTTGGAGTACTTTCGTGCTTGTATCCGAAGGATTGTAGATCTTATACGATGCATTTTCAACGAAGAAACAAGTTACGAAGTTTCCCGGTTAAGTTCATGGTGCTGCGAAAGGTGCTGCACCCTCGTTTCTCCGCATTTCGCTTCGAGAACTCTCGGCTCTTCTATGCCCGTCCGTCCCTGCTCTCTGCCGATTCCTTTTCCTTCGCAAAATGCTTCGTCCGGAGTGTTCCGGCTTGTCATTGGTAGGCGTAAGCAACAAACATTTCCATTGGTTCCCCGGCTTGCTTGTCGCGAGACTATGTTACGACCGCGACCAGATGTGAAAAGAATCAAGCGACGGGGAAAACGAACGATTATGCAATTTTCCATCGTTTAAACCACCGGAGTTTAACGTTCTCGCGGAGTTTAATCGATGCGTACATTTCAAACAGTTCCATGATAATTAAAATGATGAAAGGCCTAATAGGAGAGCGCCTCCGTACGAAGGAGGACGTAATTGTGGATGGAAAGTTTAAAAGCATTCTCGGTGCCTTTGGTGATTAGAGAGCGCAGTGGGCGCGGTTACTTAGCTAGTTAACTCGCTCGTAACTGCAGCAACCTGGATCGAAGGTACGATTCGCAGACACGATTGCCACCCTTTCTGTCGGTCTGCTGCTTCTCGTTAAATACAACAGATTTCCTGTAACGTTTGTACCGCTGTCGATACCGCCGTTCAATCGCGAACACGTGAAAAGATGAACCTATATCGCGAGACTTCCATGAGATAATCCATCGATGCTTTACGATACTTCTTTCTTTTGTTGTTGTCGTTATTATTCATTATTAACGAGATATACAAGCCCTTTATGGTACCGATTTGATACACATTGATCGATGTAAAATTGGAGATGCTTTATACAGGGTGGTCCACTTAAGTAAAGCCACCTAAATATCTCCTCTAATTGCGGGGGTACAAAAAAAATTGTTCATGCTATTTCAATGGTTTGGAAAACCATTGTATTACAACAAAACATTTTTTCTAAGTTAATTTTTTTCAAAGTTTTCAAGGTTATCGATGTTCTTTTTGCGTATAATTGTGTAGTTTTTTTTATTGCATCGTGTAACTGATGTAAAAATATGTTTAATTATGTACATTATACGACTTTATTAGATTACCTTAGAAAAAAAATTTTTGTTGTAATACGATGGTTTTTCCAAATCACTGAAATAGCATAAACAATTTTTTTTGTGTGTGTACCCCGAAATTAGAAGAGATATTTAGGTGAACTAGTGTATTGTTTGACGAACAAATGGGGTCGAAGGGGAATTTTTTCTGATTCTTTTCGGCTTTCAATTCGTAGAGTTAACACATTTTTCAAAAAGTGTAATTGTATCGTCCAAGACGACCCATTTTAAAGAATAATGTTTTATACTTGCTCTATCATTAATTTCAAGGCGTAAGCATAATTTACTAAATATGACACAGCTATACGAGTATAATAAGTATTTATTTAACTTTTATTTTATATAATTAAACGGCGCATGTTATTTTGTTACAAATTTATAGATCAGACAATCGTTTCAACACGGAGGGCGTTTAAACTACAGACTAAAAAATTTGGATGACGTTTTATTGGTTTTCTAAACTATTTAAGTTGATATTGATATGAAAAGTGTATTTATATTTTGCATAAAAATCATTATAATCTTACAAAAATTATATCGTGTTCGGTCTTATTTTAATCAGAAAAAGCTCACAATTGCATTGGCAAATCCGAAAAAATAATGCTCGCATATCTAACGTGAGCACTCTCGGTCGAGCACGCTGCTAGCACGATCCGTGCCTGGCACGTAGATGTGTATCGACCTTAAACGTGCGAAAAAAATCGACGGTCGCGGGCAAAGCAACATGTCCGTCCAATGAAACGTCAGGAACTACCGGCGAATTTCGGCAAACTCGACCGTTCGGATTAAAAGAACCATGAAATAAATTTCGGGGTTGAAACGTGTGTCTCGGGCTTACGGGGAAGGCTTTCACCGAACTCGGGGAGTCGTCGCGGCACCGCGACACTCGATGAAGAAGCTTCTAATCAAACCTGCGAGCCGACGAAACTTTCGCGGAGCCGCTCTCTCTCTCCCACGAGAAACTTGGAAAAGTGCATGTCCGGCCGATTTCCAGCAAGTTCCCGCGAAACATTCCCACGCACGCTGGTGAACGGCTCGGACGTGTCGGTGTTCCGCCTACCATGAAATCGAAGCTGACATTTTCGAAATTGTTCGTCGCGATGACAATGGCAAGTATTCACCGAGCAATTTTTCCCAAAATCGGTTCGGCATCGTAGCGATGCTCCTCGCGCGCGAACGATATTGAAATAATGCAGTTAACCGGTGTCGACGAACCCAGTTAGGTTAGCCCCGATCGCGTTACCGCGTTACACGATTAAAGGGGAGTATAAACGCCGCGCGAAATTAATGCTTTTTATCGGCTAGCCGATAGTTCTCCCAAAGTTCGACCCATAAAACGTTAATTACATGGACTCGGAAGACTAGGAAGCGCGCCGCGGACAATAAGGCGAGTAGGTTAAACGAGCCGATCGATTTAGCCTTTGCCGCTTCGTCCGTCAGCCGTTTAAAGTCCCGGGACATCGATCAATATTTTATACAAACTGTTCTTTCCTACGCGGCTAATACGATCGTTCTTATCGACGACGCGACGAAGATCGTAAGGGATCCCCGTCGACGAGATCGTTCAACAAATTCTCACGAGCAACATACCTGTATGCGCGCGATGTTTCGAAATGAAATTAAGTTTAATGAAGTCGCTGGTTGCCTTTACACTTTAATAATATTACAGCTATGGTCTTATCTGCGTTCTCAGAGTTCTATACGTTCTAGGAGTTCTGGTGGTTCTAACGATTCTGTGTAACGTTCTAGGTGCCTTTTCGCTTGTCGCCACGGTTTTTTTGTTGATTGGTGTATGGTGGGTTTTGGTGGAGGAAATGAAGCGTTTTTGATTGGAGATGGGTGTGTCGGAAGGAACTCGAGGAGTGGGAAACTGTTCGAAAGTTCGGGTTGTAAATTTTCCGTTTTGGGAAATATGGAATTTACGAGTTGTGTCGTCGGGTCGAAGGGTATTTTCGTTTGGGTGCATTTTTTAGTGTCGCGGGTATATCGCTTAATTGCTCAAGGGATGGCCAGGGACGTTTGACCTTCGGCGTTGCCGTCGCGACAATAGCATTCAGCGTCGCAATTTCACTTTCATCGATCAAGGAACCATAAGGATTACGATGGAGACGACAAGCGAGGACAAAGCGAACCAATCCGCCAGCAAACCGGCCCCGTTGATTAACCTGGAAAAGAAGGAGAGCTCCGTGAATCCGTACAATCCGTACGAGCAGCCGGTCCCGGAGAGAATGAACACGAAATGTTCGGTTGCGGGGTCGGATGACAATGAGATCAGCGCTGTTAACAGCCTGCCGCAACTCGACTGCGGCGCGTTCCCGAAATCGTACATGGACACGTGTTCCTGCTGCCCCCGGGAGATGGACTTTGACAACAACTACCACTGCACAAACAGCAGTTACAGGAGCGTGGTCGTCAAAGACGGCGATTGCTGCAAAGCACACTGGCTGAGACGAGAGGGTTACGAGAAAATTAAGGCGACCGTCAACAAGGCTGTCAAGGTACCTTTATCCTGCGGACATCTGGCATTCTCCGAAGGAATCGCTTCCGTCCCCTTCCGTCTCCTCCCCGTAATTTTCGTTCCATTTGATTTTATCGCCTGTTCCCAGAGACACAAAATATTTCTGATACGGGGCGAGCTGCCGAAACTGAAGGAAGCTCTGGAGAGGCGAGGCTGGGTTCAGAAATACGAAGCCACAAAAACAAGAAACCTGCCTTACGGTTAGCTTTTCCGTCGGCCCTCTTGATTAAACTTTTTTCGCGGCCCCGCGTTTCCCGCTGCCCGTTTCTTTAATTAAACATTAACCGCGTAAACGCCGGAACGACGGCACACCGTCGGATAAAACGAAGCATTCGAGCCGTCTCGCTCAGTCGTGAACTATCGCGATATTGCAAAAAAATCTGGCTCGACGTTTTAGGTAGCGTGGCCAGCCTGGAAGCGAGATCATTGGGTGATCTGACCACTGCGGATGGAACGTTAAACGAGAAAGCGGTGATCTTCGCTTTATTACGTCACAAATCGCCGGACTTTATATGGGACTGCCGGAACGACTTCGTCGACTGGCACCGGAGCCTCGGCAGTAACACCCTGCTCAACAGATATCAGAAACCATCCGTTTACACATCCAAGGTTAACGCTGTTCAAGCTCTATCTCTTCGTAATCGTTGGAAATCGCGTTCTCCGAGACTCTTTGCCGTTCCATTTTTCGAGCGACTTGCAAGGAATGGTGGCCAGGTGCAACTCTGGCTTATCGATCAGCCTTCGCACAATGCTAGAGCTTCAAATATTGAAGCATCCCCCTTTTGGCGCGCAGACGGTTCATAGTTTTTGAGATATCCAACGTCGAAGTTTCTCTTTTCATTTCCTGGAGATGTCTGAACATTTCTCATGTACATTTATTTAAGCAGGTGCAGACGGTTTATAGTTTCTGAGATATTCAAAAAACGTCGAAGTTTTTCTTTTTTTTCTGGAGATGTCTGTGCATTTCTCATGCACATTTATTTGAGCTATCTCATTCATTTTTATTCTAGAGATATGTTTGATACGCGTGTCTATTATCCAGACGATCGGCCTTATTTTACGAATCGGGAGGAATTTCCGAGAGAGATGAACAAAGAAATTTGCTTGAAAAAAAGCTTGTATTCGATGTACGTGGAGCTTTCAATTTTTGTGTTTCGCTCATTTTTACGACATTTTTACTGCTCCGTGTACTTCTTATCATTAAAGTAGAAGTAGCTGCAGTATTTCTAAAAAAAAAAATCAGTAATTTATTCATTTATTTGCTAACTTCGTTACTTTCAATTGTGGCAACTTTTTATATTTCTAAGAAGCTATTAAACCGCCTGTCCCTGAAAGGAGATACTTGAAGCGCAACCATTGCGCAAAGTATGATAAAAAAATCAGAGTTGCACCAGGGAATCTTTTCTTGTTATAACTACATATATCCGATTCTGTTCGAAGTCTTCGCGACGAGACCGACCGGATGTTGTACGTACAGCGGCTCCAGAAAGTCTCCGGTCGGCACAACACGTCGCCGTTCGCGATTGTCAATTATTGCCACGCGAGTTGAAAACTTTTCTAACGGCGGGCTGGGAGACTTTCCGAGCCGATGTGTACGGCGAGCGGTTGGAGGACGCGTGATCGGTAAAAGTGCGATAACACGACCATAGTTAGGAATGGCTCGCGTGCTGGAAGAGGCGCACTGGCTGTACGAGAAAGACGTGTCGAGCGTGCTGTTCCCTCGGAGCTACAACCTGAGCAGAGAGCCGAAACTCTTTCTCGAGGACTTTCGAGTGACCGCGGCCGCCGGCCTGTTGAAGTGGTTCGTCCAAAGAATGCAAGACGAACGGGAGCTAGCGGCCGAGCACGGGCAACGTACGATTCCGATGAGTCGGTTGGAATGCGCCATAAAACGCTGCGAGGAATTTATCGCTTGCGCGAACCACCAAAACATAGATGAAGACTTTGTCGCGGAGCTTTCCGAGGATGACTGGAATTCCTTCTTGGACGATTACACGACTGCCGTTCACGACGGCGGCGGAATCGAGTACACGTCCGAGAAGAGCCGACACCATTTACAAGTAGATCTCGCTCGCGCTCGCTTCTTCTCTCTTCGCTTGACGATGCGTCTTTTTATTAACGAGTCGCGTTCCATCGGTCGCATTCTCCTTCGTTCCATCGTTACTCGCTAACACCGGAACTACCAAGTCAAGATGACTGGCTTCTGATTCTTTCTTTTACAGTACAGTAAAAATTAATTAAGTACAAGTCAAATTAATTAAGTACAGTAAAAATTAATAAAGTACATTTTAAAAATTGTTCTAGGAGAAATTTCTAGATAAACTTTTTTTATTGAAGTATATATTATAGTAGAAAACAATGTACAGTAATTTCTGCCCCAGAAATGTTTTTAGTCGGAATCGAAGCATGCAGATCTGAGAATATTAAGGCGCGTCGAACGAAACTACCTGGAAAAACTACATTGTAAAACGATGACTTAACTTTTTTATTCCTAATTTTTTATCCATGAAAATTTGATTGACACATTGGTGAGGTTCTTCCAATTAAAATGAGACCACACACGATGTACATATATACTTTTGTCTATATTTGTGACTGATCTTATTTTGAGTGTAATCAGAAGTATTCGTCCAAACTATATCATGTTCGGTCTCATTTCAATCCGAAAACTATCAGCAATATGTTAAAAAAGAATTCAGTTTTAACATGTTAAAATTAAAAAAAGGTATGTCATTGTATTACGAGTCGTCTTCCGGGAATTCGAGTCAAGGGAGCCGCGGCGCGTGCCGCAGCATACGTGTTCACCGAATCCGTCGAACCTTAGGATCGGCGTAGCGAGAAAGTCGATACAGTAATGTCTCTCTAATTGACGCTAAGATTGTCCACAGAAATGGACAATTTAGGAAGAGGAGATACGAGGCTCATTTTTATAGTTACGAATTGTGAACAATTATAAAAACGAGCCGCGAGGTTCGAATAATCGTATCTCCTCTTCCCAAATCGTCCATTTTTGTGGACAATTTGAGCGTCGGTTAGGGAGACATTACTGTAAATTACAGGGCCGTGGCAATATCGCAGCGCGAATCCGAGAATACTGAAGTTCGGCGAATCCCGGAGAAATTACTGTACCGCGTTTAGGGCTCGATAGTTCTGGTGTTAACGAGTAACCAAGAAATCGCGTTCACCCTCCACACGAGTCGACGATCTTTCCCAGAGATACTACGACGTGGCGAGGTCGACTCTAGCGAAACTGAAGGAAGTGGATCCGCAGTACGAACTGAACGGGATGAGGAACATGTGGATCCTGAAGCCGAGCGAGCTTTGTTGCGGCACCGGGATAAGCATATCCCACAATTTCAAAGATATATTCCGCAAGGTAAAATCCAGACCGAAGGATTACTTCATCGTGCAGAAATACATTGGTAAAGTAGTTCTCTGTTTGAACGGTCATATTTGCGGAATCTCCGGTCTTTCCATTCGACTTATTTCCACTTCAGAGCGTCCGCTGTTGATTCACGACACGAAGTTCGACATAAGACAGTGGTACTTGGTCACCAGCACTTTTCCTCTCACCATATGGCTGTTCAAGTGAGTTTCATAGAGCGGAATTATCGAAAGAATCACAGAGTTCGTTTTACGATCAAATCCGTTCTTCGAACGTTACTCGAGGGAGTGGAGGAGATTACTGGTGAGGTGACCAATTGCTGTGCCTATATTTATCGAACGAGACGCGTTTGATTTCAAAACGAATAACATAAAAGAACAGAGAAAACAAACAAAATTATATATTTCGAATAAGACATATTCAGTTTTTTCTATTCGAAAACAAACGAGATAAAAGAATAAAAAAATTGTATATTTCTTATTCGATAAATCGGAATCGAATAAATAATTAACTTAATGTGCTCGAAAACAAATAAAATTATTTATTTCGAATAAGACATATTCAGTTTTTTCTATTAGAAAACAAACGAAATAAAAGAATAAAAAGATTGTATATTTCTTACTCGATAAATCGGAATCGAATAAGTAATTAACTTAATATTTATCGAATAAGAAACATATAATCTTTTTATTCTTGTTATTTCGCTTGTTTTCGAATAGAAAATATTGAATATGTCTTATTGAATATATCTTATAAAGTAAATTATTTGTTTGTTTTTGATAAGAAATGTAACATTTCTTATTCGATAAATATTAAGTTAATTATGCTCGGAAACGAATAAATTAAAATAATAAATAAATAAAAACGAAACTTTATATTTACTATAATAAACTTTAGATTATAGAAATATTAAATTTTTTATCGGAAAATAAGGAAACTAAGAGGATAAAAAGGATTGAATATTTCTTATTCAATAAATATAAAGTTAATTGTGTCCGAAAACGAACCAAGGCACAGCGATTGGTTACTCCGCAGTGACCGGCTCCACTACCCTAATACATACCTCTAATATTTCTACAAGTTGCCCGCGAGCTGCAAACGCGATAGATAAGAAGAAGCGCGTGCGCGGACGATCTTCGCAAAGTGATTCTTCGAGAATCGATCGGCGGAGAGAAAACGGTCCCGAATTTTTCGGGAAAACTATTTCCACCGCGCGACGAAGATTCGGCCGGGGAGATTCCATCAAAGAATTTCTCTTGATCCTATTTCATCCTTTTCCATCAGGGAGGGTCTGCTTCGGTTCAGCTCGAAGCCCTACACTTTCTCGACTTATCACGAAGCGATTCATATCTGCAATACCGCCATTCAAGAGAAGTACGACGAGGAGAGGCGGCGAAGGAGGAAACGCGGATATTCGGAGGAAGTCGTAAAATCGGTTCGCGATCAAGGATGGGACTGCGAGAAGCTGAACGAATATTTAAAGTAATCTCTCTCTCTCTGCGCCCCCGGTCTATCCTCGACCACGGTTCTATGGAGAAGTTTCGGTTATCCGTTCGTTACACTCGATAGCCCGTGGGGATGAATCTCGAGATTGATAGGTCCGGTACGCAAATATGCTCAGGACCCGTGTACTTCCTTGTCGGTCCGCGTCCGCGTTCGCCAACACCACCCCCGCTTCTGTACTTTCAGCGTCGATCACGCCCTCTCGCCGATTTAGGGCCGGATTTCATCTAGCGCAAATGGGAAAGCGTAACCGTTTGGTCGCCCGGAAAATTCTGCGGAAAATTAGACGCGGCGTCGTCTTGACAAACTGTTCCGCAATTAAACAAACAAGCTTTCGCGAGAAAGAAACGTTCCGTTCGTATCGTGTCGTTCGAACCGGTCCCCGTGAGAGTCGCAAACCTGCCGGAAGACCCGATAGTTCTCGTTATACGCTTTGACCGTGTAATCTCAGCGATTGCAGCGTTTATCGTCCGGAACGATAAAAAAGGCGTTCGCGTTCGTTAGGCAAATAGGTCTGGACGGCGAGCCGTACTACGACAGGATCTACCCGAAGATGGCCGAGGCCATAGTTCTAACGATGCTGGCATCCCAGGAGCACATGGACAGAAGGCGATGCAGCTTCGAGCTGTACGGGGCAGATTTCGTGGTGATGGAGGACCTTTCCGTCTGGCTGATCGAGATCAACACGAATCCCAGGATGCACCCGCCCAGCTCGAGAATTACCAAGCGCCTCTATTCCAGTGTCCTCCATAGCTTGGTTAAAGGTTAGCAAACTACGGACCGTGGGGACTCCGAATCACAAACAGAAGGAAGTTATCAGGAACCGCGACTGCGGGAGAGAAAGTTTTCGGGGGGAGTGGAAATCGGGGGGCAAGACAACGAATAGCACACGGTCAGCCCTCTCTCTCTCTCTCTCGCGTTTTCTGCCAGCTGTCTCTGTCTCCGATGTTTCTCCATCGGAATATTCGAACGAGCTTTTGAGAATCCGCTATATAGTATCGACTGCCGTCGCGTCCCGGGTCCTCTGATTAAACAAGTTTGCCCGGTCCAGGATAGGAATACGAATCGAGCGGACAACCTTCGACTCTCTTTCGGCCGAGACACTCCCACCGAAATAGCTTTAATTTTCTCTGATCGAATCTAGGTCGGACGAGAAGCCTCCGAGTCTTCTTTCCCGACCCCGGACGACCTCGTGTTCCTGACCGACAACAAATCCTCCCTTTTACATCCGCCGCGTTTGTCGTCCGATTCGCCGAATTACCGCGGCTTTATTCAGCTTCGGCTGCACGCGATTTGCTCCAGACACAAAATTACATATTTCATTCGGAAGCCGGGGAGAAATTGGGAGAACCACGGGCAAACCAATATTCGGTCGGAAGCTGATGTTTAATTTGTTTCAGTGATAATGGACGTGCCTGTGAACGCGACGGCCGACACGGGCGGCTTCAGCCTCGTGTACAAGCAGAGCATACCCGACTTTCGACCTTACCTCGGCCCCTGTCTGTTCGTCTTCGGCAAGTCGATTACGTTGCAAGAGCACCCGCGGAAACGGGAGAAAAAGAAGGGCAAGCCGGGCAGCGGCTGGCCGAAACCGCCGCAACAGCAACACCAGCAACAGCACCGTGCATGGACCGCTCCACCTATGATGCCACGCATGAGAGAACCGCAAATAGTTGACTTCATCGACTACTTGAATACCGCCCGTTGCACCGCGGCCAACTGATACGAGCACTCGCATTCGCACTTGTGCAGCCGTGCGGGCGCGCGCGCGTGCATCGCTGCACTCGGCCGACCGTTTCCGGTCGATAGTTGGTAATCTAAAACGCGTGGATTCGGTAAAACTCGGCCGATCTACGCGACGCGACTCTGTTAATTGGCAAACGAGAGAACACCAATGATATCGCTTCGTGGCGCGGATCTGTTTCGCGCGAAGACGCGAGCGATCGCGTTTAACACCCTGGCACACTTCAAAAATCGTCGTCCTAACAGCACTTCGTGGTCGTACGGTTTCTTCGAGTTGCCAAAATCTGATGGAAACGACGACGCGCTTTCTTCGAATACAAGATTTTGACGGATAGATCTTTGAATATGATCGACTGCCGGATCATCGCGGTTCGAGCGGACGCTCGGACTTGCAAGGAACACCTGGTAAGTGTCCGCTTCTAATTTCAAATCGTTTTCATACATGTTGTAGCACTCGATATACTAAGCGACACGTGTTTCTGTTTATACATCGACGGTGATTCGGTAGAAAGTGGTGAGAAACCACTTCCGAAAGTTTAGCGCGAGACATTAAAAATTAAGAGGTATCACCCCTTTGTACCGAATTACCGCCGATATAAAAAACAAAAAACACGCGCCGCTTAGTTTTTCGAGCACCACGACACATGTGAAAACGGATGAGAACGGAGGGGGACGCTTACCCGGTGCTCCTTGTTAATCCCAAGCAATTAGAAGCACAGCTGACTTGCTTTTTTTCCCGCGCGGTCGCAAGCTGGCCGGTGAAGATCGCGTTAGTTTCAACTGCGGTGGCGAGGCAACGGCGAATTTTGTTCCCGAGTTTGTCAGGGTTCGAGAACGTTGGTTGCTCGCTCGTATTTCACCGGTTTTTGTTGGCCGGCACCAGCACGCTTTGCCTTTCCCCGGAAAAGTCGGCTGCACCGCGGTGTGTAATTAATGGCCGCGAGATAGACGAAGTAATTAACGTTGTCATTAGGCGGTCGTCGTCGCTGCGTCGACGTTTCTTTCGGCAAGCTCCTGGCGGAAACGGCGGGCCGACTGAATGCGCTCGCGGGAGAGTCGATCAAGGGAACTCCTACTCGCTCTTGCCGCTCGCGCGCGAAACTCTTTCGCGCGGGCAGTTAGCACGACTCGTGCTGCTCGCGTCGACAGGCGTGGGTGCTTCGTTGAGTGGGGCAGGTCAGAGAGACCGCGGCCGCGAAATAGCGCGATCGAAGGAGGGGGCGAGAAAACAAGAAAGAGTAACGGCGGAGTGACGGCCTCGTGACACGGATCAGAAACGAAGTCGGAAAGATAAAGACAATCGTTTTATTGATATGTACATACAATAAATTTATTTACAAATAATACAATAAATTTAGACGTCGTAAGTTATTCGTTCTTGATGATATATCTTAACAAAATACTACGCTCTTACCGATTATTGTGCCGTGCTGATATTCGAAAACTGTTTTGGTCACGGAAATTCAATGTAAATGTAGGTAATATTCGGTTTTACCCTGCACAAATATTTACCCAAAAATGAACGCGACCGTTCGAAACCGCGCTTGCAACGTCGTGTCGGGTAAGTACGTGTCCCTCCCGTTTTCTCCCTCTCTGTTTTCTTCTCTTCTTCTGCTCGGGGGCTGCTCCCTTGTTCTTCTTATAGAAATATTACGTTAACTATCGCTAAAATTATAAAACCGATCGGCCACGCCCTGACGTGCGACGAGCTTCCATCCCCGTGATGCATCGCGGCCGGATGCTCCTCTGCAACAGAAATTTCCTCATCTCGAATCGGTACATTACCCATCCCCGGCTGTGCCGAGAGCAACGAGGCCACGCCCACTCCGTGGAGGGCCACGCCTACTTTAAGCGAACACGGTGATACGGATAGCCTTCTATCAGGATTTTGATCGGATTCAAAGGGCTCCCGATTCTTCCGCGTCGCTCTAAATTAAGGGCGCGGAATGCTCCGCGGAACCGTGCCTGTTCCACGGTGATCACGCCCACTTCGCGCGGAGGATATAAGGCAGTCTGATCTTGTGCCAGGATTTGGATAAGATTTAGGGTGGCTCCGGTTGCTCTTTAGATTGCTCTAGACCAGCTGCGTGTACCGTTGCCTTATGGGGCACTTTGGATACCCGAAGAACAACGTAACCATGCCCACTCGATGTCCAGGCCACGCCCAGTTCGCACAGGCCGGAGCAAGGAGTTTCGCCGGCTAAAAAGGTTCGCGGGTTTGAAAAAAATTAGTCCGTGTTTCGAGGGGCCGGCTCTTGAAAAGCGTCGGTCGCTAGTTCGCTGGGTCGAAAATCGACGCGGCCCCGGATCGATCTGGCCTCGTCCCGCGCGTATCAATTCCCTGAAAGCCACGAGTTTGACACGGTTTACCACTTTCAATAGCTCGGGCGACATCGGTCGAGCAAACGGTAAAACCCGCGCGTAACTTAACGATCGCGCCAGTCACGACGTAAACGCGAGCACTCGACCCTTTAGAATTCATTCGACATCGGTAAATGAAGAGCTTCCGGCCGCGTTGCTCGCGCGCACACGCTCCCGTACGCCGCGCTTCTACCCGCCGCGGTGTCTCGTTATCAAAAATCGAGGAGCGCCGAGCGGCGGCTATCGCGACGATCGGCTAATTGTTTCGCGGTGAATTATCGCGGCCCGGCCGAAAGAGCGTTGTTATCGCGGCCCGGAAACGGACGCGGACGCCGACGCGCGGAATCGGCGATAATTCGAAATAAGTTAAGCCAAGTTTCCGGGCTGTTATTCATCAACTTCAAGCGTTAATTGCTTGGTAGAATGGCCCGCGCTCGGCCTTAGTCGACGCGAATTCAGATCGATGCGACACGTCCCGCGCCTGTACTCGGTGATTTATCACCGTCATCGTCCTGACTGATCCACACCGTCGTACCCGAGACCCGAGCCGAGCCGAGCCGAGCTAGGCCGAGCCGCGTGCCGTCTGTTTGCGCGTTCTTTCACTTAATTGTCGGATCGCTGCGGTCACGGCACACGCTCGTAACTCGTGACAACGCCGTGGCACACGCGCGGCGACCGACATTTTCAACCGGAACCGGAATCGGAACCAGAACCGGGGCGACGCGTTTGAAAAACTGGCCCGTGGCACGGACGGATCGGCGGGAATCGATCAACGATATTTCGTGTCATGGCCAGCGAGCCCTGGTTTGCCCTCAGGACCCCGTCATCGAGGGAAAAATCTTGAGGACGGCTATCCGTTGGATACGCCTCGAAAATATGGCAATGTATCTTTTGGGACAGTGGATACAGTTACTGTTTACGTTTATCGAATAAGAAATATTACAGTCACTTTATTCGAAAATAAACAGGATACAGTAATGTCACTCTAATTGACGCTCATATTGTTCATAAAAATGGTCAATTTCGGAAGAGGAGATACGAATATTCCAGCCTTGCGGTTCGTTTTTATTAGTTTTTGTTAGTTCGTTTTTATAGTTACGAATTGTCAATAACTATAAAAACGAGCTACAAGGCTCGAATAATCGTATCTCCTCCTCCCAAATTGTCCATTTTTGTGCACAGTCTGAGCGTTAGTTAGGAAGAAAGAATTGTATGTCAAGAAATGTTATATAAATAATTGAATAATTGAGTTGAAATGAATATTGAATAATTGTATGTCTCAAGAAAGATTGTATGTCTTATTCGAGAAATGTAAAGTTAATTATGTTCGAGAACAAACAAATAATTAACTTTATATATTATCTAATGAGACGTATTCGATTTATGTCATTCCTTTATTTTGTTTATTTCTGGCTTAAGGAATTTAATATTTCTTAGTCCATAAATATGAAGTTAATTATTGACTTTACATGTAACAAATAAGACATATTCAATCTTTTTTGCACAGCAATTGGTCATCCGACGGTAACTGGCTCCGATATCCCACGTGACATTTCAAAGTTCTGAGGAATGAGAAACTGTACAAAACACCCATCTGTTCCAGTTGCATGCAGTATATTAGGTGTACAGTTAATTTTAGTGCTCTATATTTCGGCGGTCATAAGAGTTATTTAGCTTTCCAAAGCACTGCGAGACTGCTCGAATCGGCCAACATAACCAAAAAAAAACAACACTTGTTCAACACTAGATTTACAGAGCACAAAAGACTGCTGTTTCATATTAGTTTATAAAAGTAACAATAAGAGATTTATTCTGATTTTTAACAAGTGTTATTGTAACATTTGTCGTTAGTTGGAATAAATAACTCATAAATCTATCTTTACGATATGAATAATCGAAAATTAAAAAATTAGTGACCCGTCATTTCGACGGGTTCTGCAAATGTAATGTTAATAACCTTAATATCGACAAATTTTTAACAAGTGTTATTGTAACATTTGCCGCAAGTTGGAATGATAACTCATAAATCTATCTTTACGATATAAATAATTGTAAATTAAAAAATTAGTAAATCTAGTTTTAAGCAATAACCGACTTCACTACCCTATATGGGTCAGGTAGTTCAAACAAATTAAAGATATACAAAAAAACTATATCGACGAATTCATCAGAATGGAGCAGCCTTCTTCAAGTCTGGCATCCGCCAGCTGCCGGAAAGATGGACAAAAATTACAGAAAATGAGGGAGATTATTTCGTTGACTAATCTCTTTGTATAGAAATTTGTTTACAACTTTAATTTGGAAAGAAAGACTAAAATCAACTTGTACACCCAACATTAGAATTTATTGGAATTTATGGAAGGAGAGCTAAACGCGTTGAAAAAACGAACCGAAGAAGAAGAAGTTTCCTTGTAATATTAATTAGCACTGACCGTTGACAACGTGCACTTTGATGCTGTTGGGATTCGCGTTGCTTGGCTGGCAGGTGTAGATCCCGGAGTCGCTCGGCACGGCTTTCTGGATCATTAACCGGCTGGTCGTTTCGGGGCCTTTCTCCGTCACCAGGCTGATGCCGCCGCGCGGCGAGTCGAAATTAATTATCTGGACGGACAGATAAAACGACTGTTAGATTCACTGTTTCAGGGATTGCTGGAAAGCGACGAACCGTCGTAAGGAAAAGTTTTCGAAGCGAGGTATACATATATATCCTCGGACGTACGTACATATATCGTTGTAGCAGCTACTCTCGCGCGGAACACGGCACGTAATCGACGACCCCTTCCAAAAAGCAAGAGCCAAAGACATTACGGGAAACAGACTCGAGATGGGTACAATTTATTTCCTGGATTACGTCCGAATTGCTTTCACACCACCCGAAAGAAACGCATTCGCTTGTCGGTCGCAAACTGTACCGGACCCCGGCAGGAGAACCTTCTAAACCGAGACGGAATTGGACTATTCGGTTTCTTAATTGCGACCGGCGATTCGTCGAAGTTGCGCAATCGATATTTCATGTGCGTTCGCCTGGACAACCAAAGAGTGCACGGAATCGCTGGAAGGGAGTTTCTCGCGCACTTCTGTTTTTAACCCTACATCCACGTCTGAGAGACGTGGTCAGATGATTATGTCATGATTATCACGTCTGAGAGACGTGGTAAAAAATCGGGCTAGAAATGATTATCACGTCTGAGAAGTGTGGTCAGATAATCGGGCCAGAAATGATTATTACGTTTGAAAGACATGGTCAAAAAATCAGACCGGAAATGATTATCACGTCTGAGAGACGTGGTAAAAAAATCGGGCCAGAAATGATTATTACGTCTGAAAGACATGGTCAAAAAGTCAGACCGGAAATGATTATCACGTCTGAGAGACGTGGTAAAAAAATCGGGCCAGAAATGATTATCACGTCTGAAAGACATGGTCAAAAAGTCAGACCAGAAATGATTATCACGTCTGGGAGACGTGGTCAGATAATTATGTCATGATTATCACGTCTGAGAGACATGGTCAAAAAATCAGGCCAGAAATGATTATCACGTCTAAGAGACGTGGTAAAAAAGTGGGATCAGAAATGAGAGCTTGTGTTAAATTAGCTACGATTTTTGCGATCTTTAATTGTTTACAGCTCATACGAAGATCAATCGATTTCGGTGAAATTTTTAATATGAACATAACTTACCGAGATCTGCAAATAAATCTTTTAAATTTTCGTTATAGACTCAGATAAGAAAGTTAATAAACAAGAGTTTTTTTATTTTCTTTGATCACTCTAAGCAATTAACCTTTAAAAAAAGCATTCTAGTTATAGTTTAATAGACTGGTCGCTCTGTCATCTAAAAAAAAATTCAAGTCGTTTTGTCCGGTTCGAAAAAAGTTATTGCATTTTGAAAAGTGTCCGAATATTATATATATATATTATATTATTATTATTATAATATTAACATATATATATATATATATATTGCGCGATTGGCACAACCTCAGACGTGAAAAGACTCGGCGTGTGATCGACCTTGTTGTTTGCGGTTATTGAAACTTAAATCGTAGGGCAAGGGGTTAATTATAACTTTTCTTGCGCGCGTGTTAAGAACCGGATCCAATCGTTCGTACCGCACTTCCAAGACACGAATGATTTCAAAGGCGAATGATTTCAACTGGTTAAACTGGAATACGGCCTCGGCTGACCGCGTGGTTCTCGTTGCCGCGTGACAATAAATAAAAGTGTTGCGGACAGAGGAGTATTCTCGAATCATGCGACGCAAACATGTTTTCATACGCGGCGAACGTTTGCGTAGCCGAGGAGACACGAATGTGGATTCGCCGTAGCGATTCGCCGGTGGCATCGGCACGGTTAAAAAGAAGCATTATTGGATCCTCGGGTACAACGCAGTCTTCGGATCGCAATCATTTCTTCAAAGGTACCGTTCGCGGCTGCATTCTGCATTCTGCATTCTCATATTTCCGTGGAAACTGCGTCGCAGTGCAGTGCAGCGCAATGCAGTGCAGTGCAGTGCAGCGCAGTGCAGTGTAGAAGCAGAGCGGAACAGCGCCATGTAATATCGTTGCTTCGTACGAAGACAAACGGTGTTTTGCTTCATGGTTGGCGAGAAGAATGGTAAAGAGATAGGTGTGCCGCGTGCGTGTCGCGTTTACCTCGACGTATTCTCTTTGAGCCCGCACAAAAGACCCCGCCTGAACGCGAAATGAACGACGAATACCTTCGACTCTATGCGACGAGCGTAACATTAGGTCGTTAACCAAGTTCCGCGGATTTTTCCTTTGATACGGCGCCGGTACATTTCTTTCTTTTAATCGATGCAACGATCCATGCCGGCGTCTCCCGCGATCCTTTCCCGTTTCCTCGTCAAAGGCCAAGGGAAAGAAAGCTCTTCGCAGAGAACGTTCGCTCGCGACCGTAAACGCGATCGTTGGCAGACGATCATAAAGAAAATATACGTAAATAAATAAATCGATTCATTTCTGTGATTCTTATGAAGAAACACTTCTCGTCGGACGCGTTCGTTTGTTGTAGCATTACGTAGACAAAGATAGGCACAAATTAATCTGATCAATGATTAACGATCATAACTCGTTAGTTATTATCGTTAATTATTTACCAGATTACTGTTTGCACAATTATTGTAAATTTGAATGCGAATTTTGTGCATTTATGACAGAAACGAGTACATTTAATGTGAAACTGTAGAAGAATGAGAAGGATTTAATAATGTCGATGTACAGTAAATGCTCCTTAGAATGCCAAATTTCGGGTTGCTGCGAATTTCCCCGTGCTAGTCCTACGCCCATGTGATTTTTTGCTACGTCGATGCTAAGGGTCGACGAAGTCGGTCAAGCATGTAATGCGGCACGTGACGCAGCTACTTTGACTAGAATTCCCGGAAGACAACACAAAATGGTCTGTTTGGGCGTGAGTCAGGTAAGAAAGACCGCAGAGCTTCAAGAATAGGCACGTGGCCTCCAAATTGCCTTCGATTCGTGACAAAAAATTAGAAATAAAAAAGTCAGGTCATCCTTTTTTTTATTTTAGCATCACTGTGTGCAGTAATATATAGTTTTATAGTTGTTGACAATCGGCGACTCTAAAAACGAGTCGCGAGGCTCGAATAATAGTTCCTCCTCTTCCCAAATGCTCCATTTTCTTTTACAAGCTGAGGGACAATTGGAGAGAATTTACTGTATTCATATTTATGTACACCGGTTGCTGCCTTCTTTTTGTGGACTGCCTTTTTTGCCGGCTGCCCCGAGTTTCGTTCTCTCTCTCTTTCTCTCTCACGAGGTGTCGCCAACTATAAAAATGAGCCGCGAGACTCGAAGAATCGTGTCCGAGTGTCCGCCGATTACCGTTTTCAATTCCGAGCTCCGGGACTTCTAGGGAGAATTTACTGTATCGCTTTCGACCTCCTAAAAATATTAAAGAAACAACGCAACTTCTAAGTTACTTCCACGTTTCGCAACATTGGCTAAAAATTTGTATTCTGCATAAAGATTCGCAGTCTACTTACAATAACTAACGTGTCATAATCGTGAATCGTTAGTCAGGTTACTTTCTGCCTAACTCGCGATCTGCAGGTTGAGGATAAAGGTTTCCCACCGAAATCTGTCGGACAATAATGCTATTCTTGTTTCTGCGATGTATTCACCTCTGTGTTGTGGCTCCAGGACATCATGGGCGGCGGTTCCGGAGCATACTTCACCACGCAGGTCAGGTTAATGGTGCTGCCTTTGTTGACGAATAGGTCGGGCGCCCCGACGATAATGGTCACCGGCTCTGAAAAATCGAATTTCAACTGTTTATCGGAATTCCAGCAGAAACTAGGGTTGGCAGACGATATTTCAAGCATCGCGAAACCGGCCCAGATCTCGCTTACGATCGCACCGGAATCGTCCCGATTTTACGAATCGTCGCGATTTTGCGGATCGTCGAGAGCCAGACAATTTCGAAAGCAGAGAATTCACGGATTAAATAGATCACAAATCCTTCGAAGAAGATATACAGTGGTCCATAAAAGTGTCCGTGCATCTTTTAAAACGCAATAAATTTTTCGAAACTGGACCGAGTGACTTGAATTTTTTTCAGATGATAGCGGAACCAGTCTACTAGAACCAAAATGTTTTTTTTTTAATTTTGCTGTTACGTGGAATGACAAGAAAAATGAAAATAATCGTTTTTTAACTGTTTTATCCGAGCCTATAACGGAAATTTAAAAAATGCCTCTCGTAGATCTCGGTGATTTATATGTATGCATGCTGAAAATTGTATCGAAATCAGCTGACGTTGTTATGACGTTGTTATCACGACTTTGACCAAAAACTGGAGGAAATCTGCAGTTTTTAAAATCCTTCAACGCCTGTAGCTCGACTCTTGGTTAACCGATTGCGATCAAATTCTTTAAATTTTTGTTTTAGGCTCAGATAAAAAAGTTATAAAACGAGAGTTTCTTATTCTCTTTTTGCTATTCCAAGTAATAGCAAAATTAAAAGAAGGGCCTTTTAGTCATCGTTTAGTAGACCAGTCCCTCTATCGTTTAAAAAAAATTCAAGTCATTTAGTTGAGTTTAAAGAAATGTAATTACGTTTTGGAAGGTATCCGAACACTTTTGTGGGCCACTGTAAACAGAGGAGTACATACCGTGTGTTCGCGGGAGCTCTGTATTCGTCGGTTCAGAGCAATTAAATCGTGTGAAAAAACGCCACGGTTTTCGAATAATTTCGGATTTTCTTCTGGTTTATCCGGAGCGTATTGCAGGCTCGCGTTATAAATGCTTCGACGATAGCTCGTGTAGCGCGATAAAGCTTGATAGAGTATAATAGGGGGCAGAAAGATATGGCCGCGTACAAAATATTCTATAAATGGCCGATATTTTTATCGCGCAGCAACAAATGGGGAAGCAAGCGCTGGCCAACGTTTTTCAGGTCAAGTCACCGCGATAAGATCCTCTCATTTAATAGTACGGCCCGGTTAAAGTATCACAGCAGTCATTAACGGCACACCTGCCTGCATACGTGTACGAGCAGCGGCCTGATTTCATCTGCTTGTGTACACCCGCGTCAACTGTTTCTATCAATTTCGTATGTACCCTCGATTGATCCTTTTCACGAGCCATCGCGGAACACGATCGCGATTCGCGCAGCTGTCTCGAACGCATCGATCGCGGCATGACGCGGCTGTTTTTCCTTCCGAAAAAGCTACTGGAACGCGCGAAATTCACCTTTGACCTCTTTAAGCGCGCGTCAATGTCGCGGCGTCATCGATATACACGCTTTTAGTTTCGACGCCGTGACTTCGATTACGTCGAAGTTGATATGCGAGATGAAATTGGCAGCAAAATACACGAGATTTGCAGAAGTATCAATATCATTGTATTATTGAGTGCGAGATGCATTTTTTACTCTAATTTTTACTATATTTTATTTTATTTATAAACAAATTATATGTATTTATTATTATTATATTTATAGTAAAATTATTTATTTTACTATATTTATTTTATATATTTTATTTATACTCTAATTTTTACTATATTGTACTATAAAATCTATGCATTTCATACTTTTTTAAAAATGATTTCTTAATTTCGTTATACATTTGAAAAAATTCCTCTATGAGATCTTAAAAATCTTCGTTACATACTTGTTAACAAAATCTAATCATCAGTCTTGCAAAATGTTTTTTATTCAAAATTCACTGATTTTCCCTCGTTAGGCGTGTGACTGAAGCTCGATCTGTGATCAGCACAAAATGTGTTAATGACCTGATGTACATTATTAATTGGCCGCACACAATCACTGGCATTCTTTCGTACGTTCACTTCAATGTAATGCCGCGAACACTACGTAAATTCTCCATTTTGAAAATCATCCCTTTTAGAACAAAAATTTTGAATTGATATAATAAAATATATAATAAATAATGTAATAAATTCTCCCTAATTAACCCTCAGCTTGTAGACAAAAATGGACAATTTGGCTAGCAATTATAGTTACCGATCGTCAACAATAAAAAGAAGTCGCAAGGCTCGCATAATCGAATCACCTATTCCCAAATTGACCATTTTTGTTTACAAGCTGATGATCAATTAGGGACAATTTACATACAGACACGCGACAAAAAAATTATACCTTGCAAGCGTGAATAAAAAAACAGCTGTCTTACATTAGTTTGTAAAAGTAACAATAAGACATTTATTCTGATTTTTAACAAGTGTTATCGTAACATTTGCCGAGAATTTACTGCGCACGGATCTTCGCTTCTGCGAGATCTGCATCGCGCATTGTTGATTTATCTTTCCATCCCCACAGTTCCCCTCAAATCCTGAATTCCGAACGATCATATTCATCGATTCTATAACTAAACGAGCAACTTCCCGTACAAATTCAACAAACACACAAAGATATTCGTTTTGATCGAATCTGAAAACGGAAATCGATATTCCTTTTCCAGCGTCGGAAACGCGGCGGTATTATGAAAAACGCGTTGAGAAATTTCTCTGTACGTGAAAGAAAAAAAAAACACTCGGTCGCCTTTCTCGGATCGGATCCCGCGCCTTTATCGGGTCATTATTATCGTTGTAGCGACGCGAGAACGCGGCCCGGAATCAGTGAAATAATTGACCCACATAATGCACAGTTCATTAAATCTGCGCAGATATTGGCGTTAAATGGATAGACGTGTACGTGCATCGCGTGCACCGCCTTCATATTTATAATGCCTCGGAGGCGCTCGTCAGCTTTACGAGTGAATAATAATCCCGATTCTATCGAAAGCAAGCCCTCCCGCCGATTCATCGCACAGTTTTCGAGCGATCGAGAGGGATCATCGATCGTCGATGCTGGAAACGAGTAACCCGATTCCGATGAAATCGAGCGGCAACTGCGTCGATACCGTCGAACGTTTCGGCTTGATTTTGATTTAAACGCGAACGCGACCGAACGAATCCCTCGAATAATTTGCCAATAACGTTCGGGGCTGCTTGGCGCAACGCCGTTTTCTACTCACCGACTATCGTCAGATAAATAGAATGGCCGATAGGCGGTGTCGTTGATATTTGGCACTCATAAATCCCGGAGTCCTTGCGCTGGGGGTATCCTATCCTCAGCGTCCATTCCTCGGTGTGCGGATAGTGCAGGGCTTCGAAACGCTGGTCGCTCGTGTACGTGTAACGGCCGACCGTCAGCAGGTGTATGTCCCGGTGTCTCACCCAGGAAACCTGCGGCAAAATACGAATATCGCTGTTCAAGTTTTTTTCTCAAAGTTTCCCCTCCCCTGCCGGCGCCCCCTTTCTCACACCCTACGAGCCGCTTTCTTCCCACACTTTGCACGTCCATCACACCGCGCCGGGACCTGTCAGCCTTCGCGCGCGAGTTTTCCTTCTCATCGGAGCCAGCGGAAAAAACAACGACGCTCGTCGCGTTGCGGCCGACGCGTTTTCACTATCCTGTCGCCCGTAATACGGCGACGTTTCCTCGTATAACTCGGAAACGAATTTTTACCCAAATCATATTGCCACGGCGGATGGCGGATGGCTCATGAGGATGCGCATACGTTGCAGTCGAATCGCGACAACTTGTCAGATTGGCGGTGACGCAAATGGACTTTACCTTATAACGCTTTGACGGCCGTGCCAGATACCTCGAAAATGTCATAAAATTGTTGCATTTTATTTAGAAAGCTACGGCACGGCGTCCGTTATTTTGTCGACGTTCTTACGAAGAAATTATGATGGACCAGCGTGAAAATGAAATTTTGAATAATTCTGTGATCCACGTGTGGGCGACGCGGCGGTCGAAGTGTTAAAACAGCGTGATTACGATATATATACATATGAATACATGTGATATATACATACATATGATATACTTTATTATAGAGAATAAGTGAAAATATTCTCTGCATAATGTGATAAAAATCTAACCGATTCGAACACAGTTTCATACGAATAAAACACAATGCAAACGATCTACAGGATGTCCCAAAAATGTCTCGCAATCCGAAAGTGCCGGATTCCTCAGATCATTTGAAGTAACTTCTTCCTTTACAAAAATGTTCTCCGAGGCACCGTTAACGAGTTATTAACGAAAAACAGTGACCAATGAGAGGTGAGTTCTGCTGGCGCGAGGCGACCGAGCCATTGAGCGGAATTGGGCTTCGTGCGCTGGTTGGCTGGGCCGCCAGCGTCAGCCGTACTCGATTCTTATTGGTCGCTGTTTTTCGTTAATAACTCGTTAACGGCGCCTCGGAGAAAATTTTTGTAAAGGAAAAAGTTGCTTTAAATGATCTGAGGAACCCGCCATTTCAGGATTGCGAGACATTTTTGAGACACTCTGTATGTCGGGCCTATTTGAAAGTCGCATTTCAACATTTATCAACGCTATAAATAGAATAAATTCTGTTAATAACACAATTACGTCATATTCGTTAAACAAGTGCGCCGAATCGATTTTTATAATTCAAACTTTCGCGAAGTCACACGTACGTATGAAAAAGCAATTTCTTCGGTCAATTATGGTATCTAGAGAAGTTTGATCGTTGAACGCTTATTTTGACAAGATTTTGATAACTCTTATTAACTTCATCGCTTTCGGATGTAATGGACGTTTAAAAAGCATTATATATTCGATAAGCATCGATACGTGGAGTTTGATTTTCGGGTCCATGAACAGCTATGTAGCTGTTCGAAAAGCTACGCGGCCGGCTGCGCGTTGCCGCGTCGATGTTCGGCGAGCAATGAGCAATCGAGCCGCGAAATCACCGCGGAACCGTGTTATTTCAACTCGCTTTTATTCGCGAATTTCGAGGGCGCGCGCGGAAAGTAGGTCGGACTCGTTGGTCCCGGCAACTTTTGCGGTTACTCGACTGGGCAAACGCCTCTCGATAGAATCGATCAAAAACTTGATACGCGGATCGGGACGTGTACACGCGTGACAAGCCTGCCTATTTAAATCGCAATAATCTGCCGACAGCGACAGTGTCGATGAACCGAAAACGCGATGCCGTAAGCGCGCGCGTACGGTAACATTTACTACCGGTCAATACTAATTGCCCACGAATCGAACGAGCGATACAGTTGTCGCTGGAAAATTGAAGACGACTGTCTGTATAATTTTCTTTATGCAAATCGATGCATTTTTGTATTTTCTTTGACGAACTTTGGCGGCGGTTCGAAGGTCGTGGAGATGGGAAAGGAAAGGAGTGGGGAGACGTTTCGTCCGGGGCCCGCTAGAGGACTCATCGGTAAGGCTATCCTAGCGGGCCCTTGCCTTAGACGTAAGGGTAGGACGAAGTCTCGGTGTATATATAGGGATCGAGGCGGATCGGCTACTAGCGGGAAGAGGAGCCCTCTGCTGGCGGGTCTGGAGGTAGCCGCCACAAACTATTCAAGCATTTTTGTCGCGCGAAAATTGTTTAGCTTAGTATTGGGTTGGCAACTAAGTAATTGCCGATTTCAGTTATAGATGTCTCTCACTCCCACTTTTATGATATCCGTAAATGTTATATTATAAAATTATTATTATTATTATTATGTTATTTTTTATTATCCGTGAATGTTAGCAACTGGACAAAT